TGACAGGTAAGCAAACTGAGGTCAGGATGACTCGGTGAGTAGCAGAAGTGTGATCTGCACCCACACCACACTAATCACTGCTCTATAGAGTGCTGTACATAGCAACAAGTTGGATGAGGTTGGATGAGACTGGGGACTCAGAGGGGATGTTGAGGAATCTTGTCCTTCATCCCATAGAACTTGGACTCTCTCTCAGAGCTATTATGGATATGAGCATTAGAAAAAAGAAGAGCAAAATGAAAGCATGTCTGGAACTGAGATTATCTGCAGAAACTGTAAATGCCTGAATACTTGCCAGCTGGGTATGACCAGACGAAAAGCTGCTCATTCATGAAGAGTGAAGGACTCAGCACATACGAGTGGCTTCTAAAAGCACCTACAAAATTTCCATGCCCCTGGTGGCCCTCCCTTCCTGCAACACTGGCTTGGCCACAGTGGTTGACCAGAAATAGCCATTCTCCATGAAGGAAAGTGTTGGATTCAAGGGAGGCTGATGTGAGTTACATCTGATACAATAAGGAAGATGCAGGTAATAGCAGAGAGCCCACAACAAGCTGCACAGTAAGCAGTCACAAGTGAAGGAACACTCCTGGTCCTGACGTTTAAAAGCTTCGGGATTGGGACAATGAAACAGGTGCTCGTGGACGTGTGGGAAAATGAGCCTGCTCTGACAAGCCCAACTGAGGGTGTACAGGCCAGAGAGAAGACTCAACATCACCAGCCCCCAGTACTCATTTTTTTGTTCACAAACGGGGCTTTGCCATTAGCATCTAACACTTGGAACATCCTGCTCTTCTAGGAAAAGCTCCACATGGATCCATTATGAGTGATTTCATTCTAAGCTATGTTTTATCTAAGCCTTTTCCTGAACTTGGCTATCCAGGCTATTTTCCCAGATATTAGAGGCTACAAAAGAATTAGAAGCAAGGATCCTGAAGAGGCAACAGAGCTGGTGGGAAAGGCCCTGGAAATGCACTGCAGCTTCAAAGCTCAGCTCAGAGCCATGTGCCTATGGGTATGTTACTAAACCATCCTGTGCCTCTGTTCCATAAACAGCTCATGCAGTGTGGAGTTGTCTCTAAGGAAACACTATACAAAGCCACATATTTAAAACAAAGCACAAGCTCTTTATAAGTGGGTTGCACCTGGCTTATCAGTAGAAAGTTCCCATGGTGGCTGACCATGTGCTTTTAGAAATGAGCTCTAGCCAAGTCACTGGAAGTACTCCCAGATGCTCCACACACACCAAGCTCAGCACAACTGTAGTTCAGCTGGTCCTTGGGATGTACCCTGGAAGTGGGATCACTAGGTCAGTGTCTTAGTTACTGTTCTATTGCTATGAACAAACAGGATGATCATGGCAACTCCTATGAAAGAAAGCATCAGATTGGGGGCTTGATCAGCATTTTTAAAAGGGTTAGTTCATGATCATCATGGCAAGAAGCAGAAAGGCATGGTGCTGGAGCAATAGCCAAGAGTTTTACATCTTGATATGAAGGAAACAGGTAGAAAGAGAGACAGAAAGAGAGACCAAGAGAGTCCACTCCCAGCAACATACTTTTTTCCATCAAGGCCATATCTCCTAATCCTTCTAATCCTTTTTAAACAGTTCCACTACATGGTAACTAAGCCTACTAACATAGGAGCCCATATGGGTGAGGACATTCCCAAAACACCACAGTTGACCTAAAGATTATATAGACTGTGTCTTTGAGCACCCGGCAGCATGAAGAGAACAAAAGACTTCACTCCATCTCATCAGCCAGAAAACAAAACCAAGAACACCCACGTTACCAAACACTACAGTGGATGTTCCTGTCCTTCCCAATGGCCTTATGAGTATGTGTCCAGATAGTAACAGGTTACCTGTTCCCCACCTACAAGCTCCAGAGACCCAGGAAAGAAGGCCTGATAATCCCTCAGCTCCAAATCCACCAGAGAACTGACCCACACCCAGAAGAGCGGTCCCCTCTCCCCAGAGCACCCCACTTATCAAGGCTTATATTTTATTTTAAATCTATGACTTAGTATATTATTTCTATATGGAGAACTTTAAACTGCATATGTCTCCAGCTTCACAAAGCCAGAACTATGCTCTGTGCTAGCCACTGACTGGTAGATCTATTTTCCCCACCTGGGCTATCAGCATCCCAGACGGATGGTACCTGCTGTCTCCCTTCACTTTCAGTGCCCAGTAATGCCCCAGGGCTGGAGGCACCCCTGAGTACCTGCCAAGAACCTGAAGATGGGACGTGCAGACAGAAACAAAAGCTGTCTTCTTTTTCTACTTATTTATCCACTGGGTTCACTCATTAACTCCCCTGTACAAGCTAATCCTTCACCATCTGACAGCCTTTAGAATATGCAAAGATACTCCCCTGCTTGTGTTTGCCTTCATCCAGGGAAGGAGCACGTGCTTCTTGACACTGACACTGCTTGACACTGCCTCTCTCTCCTCAAAGGCTATCAACAAAGGAAATTCCCCCAAGCTCCTCTCCACCCAGGTGGACTGGGGGACCGCCAACATGCCCTCTTATCTCAGCTACTGAGAGCCTGGCCTGCAGGCTGTCTCTGGTCTGGCTGATAACACAGCCTATTGTTTTTAAAGGAAATAACTTTGCCCTGAAAGCTTCCATGGACGTGACTCTGTCTGACTGGGTTGAGGCAGGAATAGGCTTGGCTCTCTACAAGGCCCATAGACCCTGTGAAGGAGGAAACATTTCTGTCATGAATTGTGACCAACAGTCCTTGTATCTCTCCCCACTCTCTTTTTTGACTCATTTTCAGTGGAGTTGGGCTCCCCATGGACAGACCTCTTGTGCCCACACAACTGCTCCAGGGCCCCTGCTCACTCTCCTGCCACTTCTATGCATACTTCCTTCTTCCCCTTAGCCACTCTAGGATAGGACATGAACTCTCTGGGTCTTTGTCTAGAACAGACCATTCAAGAAGTCAGAAACACTTGTAGGCACCTGAGGGGAACTAGTATTTGTCAAGTGATGTTGGGAATACAGTGGCATTTAAGTAAAGGTATCCTTGCTAATGCAGCTCAGCTAGGTTCAAGTTTTCCTCCCACTCTGAGCTCAGGACAAGAGACCATGTGTTGTGTTCTGACATGTATGCACATTCACATATTGCTAGGGGCTGTCTGTTGTACTTTCCCTTGCAAGATTATGTGTCAGTGCAGTGGCTCATATACCTGGCTCATGGGGAACAAGGGAGAGGTGTCCTTCAATAAGGTCCAGTTGGCTACTGCCAGGGCTAGAGACCTGTAGCCATCCGAACAAACATTTGCCCATTATTAAAGTTTGGAGGTGATATGTTCTCTGCAGTCTTAGATGTTTCAATGACTGATCTTCTGCTGGTGGCCCTGTTTGGGGAATTATGGAAACTTTAAGATATGGCCTGACTGGAGGAAGGGGTTGGGAGGGGAACACTGTGTGCGTAGTTATGAGTCATAGCTCAGCTCTAATTCCTGCTGTAACTCTTCAGCTTCTAGGTCTATCTGCCCAGATGAGAGCAAGCTTCTGCTGCTATAACAGAAGCCATTCCTGCCACTGTGTCTTTACCTCCATGCTGGATAGTATTCCCTTAAACCATAAGCCCAAATAAATCCATCTTCCCTTAGGTAGCTTTTGTCAGGTATCTGGTCACAGCAAGGAGGGATGGATCCATGACACCCACCCTCCGCTCTGGGATTTCTTCCTCTTTTATGGCGCATTCCTGGACCTTTGAATCTGAGCACAACAGTCAAGATAGGTGCTCACTGTGAGTGGCTGCTTTCCACAGCAGTGCAACTTGGCATAGCTTTGTTAGTATTTCAGAATAAGGATCTAACACAGGCCTGATAGTTTACTAAATGTGGTACTTAGAGTGGTATTGAGTCATTTAATAGCAAGATAGACCTGAATTTCATGGATGTTCTAGCATCATCAGCAAGAGCTCATGATGCAGTTACTATGCAGATAAGTCAGTCAACTTGATGAGGTTTAGAACTGCCATAGGTTGAACTAATTGGGGTGGGAATGCCTACTCGAATTGTGGTTGTTCCCACAGATCTGCTGGGTCCTGAACTAAATCAGGAGAGAGCAACCTGAGCACCAACATTCATCTCTCTCTGCTTCCTGACTGTGGGTACCATATGACCAGCTGCCTCATTCTCCTGATACCATAACTTCTCTGTCACAATGAATTGGCTATACCTCAAACTGTGGGCCAGAATAAACCCTTCCTTTCCTAAGACACTCCTGTCACTGAAAAGTAACCAATACAGTGTGTTTAGTAATAATTTGGATGCTGTGTACAGATGTAGATGTGTATTTATATGTATATAAATAATATCATGCAAATACACATGTCTTTCCTAGTACTATGTTCAGGATGTAGGCTAGCGATGCATACACCCAGGACTTCATTGTGGCTGCCACAACATTCTCCCCTGAGAGGCATCCAGGTACTGGCAAAAACTCTGATTCCACACAGCAGCCAGCTCATCTCTAGATCTAGATGCACAGGACAAAGAGCAAGGGAAGTTCATCAGGCCTGTCCTCAGAACAAGCAAGTACCTCTTAACCTAGAATGCAACAGTGTCAGGCCAGGCCTTATTTGTAACAGCAGCCACTTGTCATGGAAGAATGCTCACAATTCAGGTATCTCTTGTCAGTTTTCAAGAGAACTGCAAAGCTCTCCATCAGAAGCCTGCTCTGCACTTCACAGGGAGAATGGGTCCCCTCTGTGGGCGCTGCTCCACATGGCAGGCAAGCAATGATACAAAGAGTCTAAGAAAACAGGGCAACACCCCTTGCTCTGCTACATAGCCCACAGAACCGTCTGGAAAACACAGTGCATGTCTCATCCCCTGTCCAATCCCTCAACGTAATTCCAAGTGTTGGAAAGACAGCATATTTTTCTCATCCCCCAGTGCACCCACAGAACAGCCCCACTGGAGAGACTGGAAAAGACAGCACATCCCCTTCATGTGGGAGAAATCAGTCACTCACCTCAGGAAGCTGAGCCACTGTCAACTCTTGGCCCACAAATGCAACTGCTCAGCCCCACAGCTCTGAGCCTTGTTCAGCACAGTCCCCAAAAGTGCCAGTTGCTTCTCGATGGCATTTCTAGTTCAGCAAAGGCAAGTCTGAAAATGGAAAACAGAGAGAAAGTACAAGTTAAGTTGGGCATTAATCCCATCCCAGGCTTTCCTGACATGCTTAAGACAATGACAAGGAATCTTCCTACCACCCTAACATTCACACTGCACAGGAGGTTCCAACAACACTACTGTCCCATGACCAGAGTTGGGACAAAAAACCAACCAACTCATACCTCCTGCTTGCAAGGGGTGAGAGGCAGACCACTGCACAGAAAATTCAGGGTAATGGGACACAGGATGTAACGGACACTCTGGAGAATGGAGGAGGAAGTGAGCAAGTTGGTCTGAAAGGAGGGTGTGATATGAAAGTCATGTGAGATGGTAACTGTGAATATACATCAGATGTCGCGTCTATAAAAACAAGGTCTTAAAGTAATTGTCCCCAAGGGCCAGGGAAAACAATGCAAGCATGAAAATTTAAGAGAATTATTGGATCGTGAGCAACAGGGGAGATACAATGGACTTTGGCTGGTCCCCATCTCTACAATGCAGTCCTGATGTCACCAAGGTCACAGTCCCAAAGCTTCCCATAATACGGATTTGAAAAACATGCAAATTGGCACAGCACAACAAGGCAGTAAGGAACAGGAAACAAACTGCACTGTCCCATCAAGAGAGGGTCCCAATTTCCCCAGACTATCAGTATTCAAAGTGGTTCTGTCTTCCCTCACAAGCAGAGTCCATTTCTCTACCTTTTGATCCCGAGATTGACTTTACAGGAGTAAAAGAGTGGATAGAGCACAAAGCTTCAAACACAGACTGTGGCAGGGACTGGGGTAGCTTAGTAGTAGAGCACATACTTAGCATTCAGGAGGCCCCAGGTTCGAATCCTAGGATCACATACATGCAAAACAGTCCTCATGCAACCATTCCACTTCCTCACTGCAGGGACTCATTCTGCTACCACAATAACTGGCATAGGACAGCCCTATGGAGCATACAAAACATCATGCAGAGGTCTTGGGTCTCCCTGGCTAGCACAGGTTAAGCACCAGATTTGCTTGTGAGAATATCAGATACAATGAGTCCCAGCAAAATTAAGTAGATCCGAAGGATGCATCCACCCAGAGTCCGGAAGATGAAAGCAGTGGGCTGGACCAGGCCCCTGGGTTTAGACTATGCATCTTGTAGGGAAGGGTTGCTGAGCAACATACTCACCTTAGTGAACTCCACAGCAGTTCATGGCGAATTAGGAAGGAAGCTATCGAGGAGACAGGCTGGGGCAAGAGGAGCAGGGAGATTCAAGAGCTGTTTCAGGTGAAGAATTGGCAAATCAGAGATCAACAGAAGCCAGCTTTGTCTAAGGGCTTAGGTCTGGCTCTGGGAACCACACACGGTGTTGACTATAAACAGTCTGCTAGGAACTGTAGTGGGACAGGATGTTTACAGGGAAGCTACACAAAAGGGACATAAGCAGAAGGACTCAGATTCTCAGGGAAAAAAAAGTAAAAAAAAAGATAAAAAATTAAAAAACAAACAAACAAACAAACAAAAAAAAACCCAAACAATACTACCCTCTCCTGGCCCTGTGAGCTACAGGACACTAGTCCTGGCATCATTACCATCTGGCCACCACCACCATCTCCACTGAAGGACTCTTGCCTCTCATGAACAGCAGAAGGGGGCCTTGACTACCACTAATAGCTGGAAGGACTTGGCTTATCAGCGACAGCTTGAGGGGGTTCCTCCCTGCCAGCAACAACTGCAGGAAACTTTTACTCTCCACAACAGCTGGAGGTGGACTTGACTCTTAGCAACTGCTGGAGGAAGCCTTGACTCTCTCAGCAGTAGCCAGCGTAGGCGTTGATGACCTTACCTTGGCCTCCCCATTTCACTGGATGGCACAATCCCCTTTATTTTTGTGCTTTCTACTCAACCCTCACATTCCAGTACAAAGGGCACCTCCTAGGACCCCTCTGCTGACTCTCAGATGGGAAAGACATCGCCATTCTAGTCCTTGGCCTCTATGCTTCCACAAAATGCTTTCCTGGCTTGTTAAGCCCTGAGGTGATGGGCCATCTGCCTCTCATCAGAGCCCCTGGTGTGACATAAGAAGAAAGTTAATCACTATTTCCTCCTTCTTCCCCTCCTCCTCCTTCCCCTCCTTTCTTCCTTCCTCTTCCTCTTTTTTCTTCTTCCCTCCCTCCTCCTTTCTTCTTCTCCTCCTCCCTCCTTCCTTCCGTCCTTCCTTCCTCTTTTCTTCTTCTTTTTGTAGTGCTGGGGATCAAGTCCTGGGCCTCCTGCATACAAGCTGGGCTATAGCCCTTACCCTAGGGTGCCCACAGTTTCCTTTGTTTTGCCCACTTATAGTCTATTCACTGTTTTGTTTTGTTTTTAAATTTTTTTTTGTTTGTTTTTGCAGCACAGGTTTTCTTAACACCAGGCCTCCCCTCAGTCTGCTGTCAGTGCTCTCCGTGGAATGAGCCCCTTCCTGGAAAAGGGGCTATACTTTGTAGCTGGTACCCTCCACCCACTCTTGTTATCTATTGAGCAATACTGTAGTTTATATACAATACCAAGGAGGCACTTGGTGATTGTTAAATAAATGAATGAACAAGAGATAAGTATCTGAATAAGGCTGGTTCATAATTTAATAGAAGCCTGTACTTGAGTTTGGATTTATATAGGTTACATCTTACTGAATAGTTGAAAACCATCATGATAGAATGGCCTATACACACACACACACACACACACACACACTCCTAGAGATAATACTTTGGTTGCTCTCTATCTTAAAGCATAATGGGGGAAATAAAGAATTACTTTAACATGGAACCCTGCTCCCCACTGAGCCTTATTCTATAGTCTGGCATTGTAAACATCAATTCATGACCAGGGATCTCACTGGAGCAATGCAACCAGCCCTGAACCAATGCCTTCCTTGGTCTGTCTGGACATGGCTGGTTTGAATCTGAAATATCTCCTGAAGTCTTGTAAGTCAAAGGCTCTATTGTCAGCTGATGAGCCTTGGGGGAAGTGAATGGATCTCAAGGGCCCTGACTTTATCCATCGATGGATAAATTAGCAATCTACAGACGGATTGCTAATTTTATGGCTTTATTGGGAGATGATGGGCATGAGGCATAGGGCATGGGGCCTAGTTGGAGGAAGGAGGTCACTGGAAGCTCTCTCTTTCCCTTCCCCTGTTTCCCTCAGATTCCTGGTAGCCTTGATCTGAATGGCCTCCTCTGTCCCATGGTCCCACAGGTTCTGCCTTACCACTGGCCCACTGCCATTGGATCAAGCCACAGTGGGTGGAAAGCTCAGAAACTGGGCCAAATTAACCCACTCCACTCATGTGTTTCTTCTCAGACTTTTCTCAGAAGAATGAGAAACAAAAAGCATCTCTCAGCATCTAAGCTCAGTTCACTTTCTATAGCCTCAGTCGCTCAAATTTGTAGTCATAGCACTGAACTTTCAAACATAGAGTAGGCATCTGCTGATGCCTAGAACAGTCCGTTCATTACTCTGACTTCCCAGGTCTTGTATTTTTTAACACAAGTACCCAAAAACATTTGCTGAAAGGCCACCTTACAGTTCTGTGACCACCAAGCCCTGATGCCATGCCTCTATTTGTCCAGGTTGATGCTTCCACAGGAGCTTCCAGCAGAGATGACAACTCAATCCTCACCACTGAAACACAAGTACTGGTGTTTCAGACACTCCAAACACGAGTTTTACACATAAGAAAATCAGCCAGAAGTTATTCTCTGTGGGCCCAGGAACAACTCCCCAACTTGGTCTGTGGAGTGAGTGTAGACTCAAGGTTGTGTCAACCTATTCCAGGCAACTACCTCTTCATGCTGCCCATCCTCTAGGCAGCATGAGTACTAATCCAGATCCTCACTGGAAGATTTCTGGGTTCCAACGAGGACACTAAGAGACAAGAAAGACATTTACCACCTAGCTGGAGCATGGATTAGGACAAATTCCAGTTAAACAAATCATGGTTATGTTCCTCTGTGTTCTTATTTCCCCTGATCTGGATCCATAAGTCATTCTTTCTTTGACCCTATTAGTGCATCCACCATTCACAGCCCCATGTGCCCTCAGACATGCAGCCCTTTCCTGCACAGTATTATATAGTAAATCTCACAAGAGACTGGTCTCCAATTTCATTCCTTCTCAGGGTAGGTCAGCGAACAAGAAATCAAACTCAACATCATTCCTGGAGAGACAGAGGCAGTTTGCTTAATAAATCATAGCTTTTCCCCTCCAAGCAGAAAATGATTGTCTGAATGTTGTCTGGCTCAATACTATCGCTGCATTTATAAATTACAGGACTCTTTACCCAGGGGCCCCCGGGCATGTCATGTTCTTTCACAATGTGAATGCTTCTATGTATGCCACAGGGATGGGCAGACCAATTCTCAGTGTGATTTCACAAAAGCAGCTTTTCTAAAACAAACTCATAGAGAAGAGGCAAAGTATGCCTGCTTCAACTGTCTCGAAGGGCTATGTTGAGAAGCAGATGAATTAACAAGGGCACTGGGGCTGGGAAGATGGCTCACAGTAAAAGTGCTTTCTGCATAGCATGAAGGCCCAAATTCGGATCCTCAGAAGCCATATAAAATCCTGGCACCATAGTGGGAGCCCGTAAGCCAGGTGATAAAGAGAGAGCGGGGCAGCGCTTGTTGGCCAGCCTAACAGAAGCAGTGAGTTGCAGGTTCTGTGTGACACTCTGCCTCAAAAAACTAAGGTGTAGATGGATTAAAGAAGACGACACTGAAGACCAGCTTCTGAACACATACCCACAGACTGGATGCACAAACAAAATTAAAAATTTAAAGAATTGAAACTATAAAAAAAAAAAACACATGAAATCACCTTGATAAAACCAAATAAAACAGCAGTAGTAATAGTAAATGGTATCTTCAAGGGCTGAATGGCATGTTGTTAAACTATCCTTCAGTGTGTTTGGGTGTGTACATATGTACTGTCATGTTTTATCATTTTGAGCAAGAATATTGTAGTGGTTTGAA